TTAGCCTAGGCTGCGTGTTGAAGGCCGTACCTTTGACCTATAATTGTTAATTTTTTGTACATTGTGACTTGGATGGAGAGTTGTCTCATTGGCACTCATACCACATCTTCTTATTTATATTAACGAAATTAAGCACCCAAAGGAAACAATTGAATATAATTTAGTGAGTCCATTTCATCGACAGATTTAGGAAGCGTTGATTCTAGAAAAAGAAACCACGGTAAATGAATAGGCTGACGTCACGGCAATGGTTTAATAAATATTATTCGTGATTTATTACAAGCAAATAGAGACATATATTACTAGTTGTGTCTCTGGAACAAATGAGGAAATCAAATAACGATAAACTATAACAGTTACTTCATCTCGGAATCATAGAATAAATAAGGTAAATCAGAGGCGAAAGATACCAGAGGGACATTCAAACTCACAAGTCGAAAATAAACTGACAACGCCATGGATAAAAAAAAAGACAAACAGACAAACAGACAAACAATAGTACACAAAACACAACATAGAAAACTAAAGACTGAGTAACACGAAAATATGTTCTGAAGAATTCTCAATTCGGTTACCTAGAGACTAGGGTAATGTCAATGATTCTTTTTTAATTGTTAAAAATAATGTTATTTCAATAAAACTATTTTTTGTTATAAATGATTGGCAATTTGTTAAAATAATTTGATAACTGGATATTACAAATTAGTTATGCATTTGATATAACTGATACAAAAATAAAAGATGTGAGATATACATGTACGTGAATAGCAGCAAACCAATGGTAAAAAAAACACAGAAAGACATGTACATCTAATTAAAGGCAAATGTATGAGTTTTGACAATAGACCGGTATTTTAAACATATTTCAAGTTCTAAAACGCCCCATTCTAAAAGTTGCCACGGTGAATATACTTAACAGATAATACCAAAGATCGAATTATCACAACGACACAAAAAATAAGATATGACAAAAGAAACCTTTGACAAGGTTCCTGAATTAAGACGGGCAAGGTAATCCAAACTAGGTTAGGGGAAGTGCAAGGCACCCGAAAACATGTTCAACTCCGTCACGTACTGTATGTGCCTGTCTCAAGTAAAATACGTACAAAAACAGGGCCGTAGGTTAGTGGAAGTGAAAAGCAACCGAAAACATGTTTAAACCCACCACGTTCTGTATGTGCCTGTCTCAAGTAAAATACGTACAAAAACAAGGCAGTTAGTTTTCTCATTTGAATTGTATGAAATTTGTCATGCATGTCACTCTGGGCCTTTTATGACTTGTTATGCGGTATATGTTTTAGCTTATTGTTGAAGGCCATACAGTGACCCTACGTTATTTGGTCTCTGAAGGAGAGTTGTCTCAATGGCGATCATATAGATATAGGAAGATGTGGTATGAGTGCCAATGAGACAACTCTCAATCCAAGTAACAATTTATAAAAGTAAACCATTATAGGTCAAGGTACGGCCTTCAACACGGAGCATTGGCTCACACCGAACAGCAAGCTATAAAGGGCCCCAAAAATTACTAGTGTAAAACCATTCGAACGCAAAAACCAACGGTCTAATCTATATAAAAACGAGAAACACTTATGAACTACATAAACAGACGACAACTACTGTACAACTCGAACATAACACTTTTAATTTCATTTTTAGACTGATTTATTTCATATTATTATAAAGCTTTAAACCATGCTCAATGAAAGTCTGAGAGAGAAAATTTAAGTGTATTTACTGTTGGTCTAATGGTAATCCCAATTGATGTTTATTTATTCTGTGTTTCTCTTAAATATTTTGATTATAAGAAAATATAAGAATTACTAAAAAAATCTATTCAATATAATCTCATAATAATTCGTTTTAATATTTTTGTTTTCATTTTAGGATTGTATGCAGTGGCCGACATGATGATTATATCAATTTCGACATGAGATTGAAATGGATCGTCATGCTGCAAGGAGCGTGAACATTTTTAATCCGCAATAAAATAACATTGGACCTATATACCGTATCGTTATTTGTCCGCCAATGCTGGACATCACAGAAGTCCCGTAAAATTTTGACGTCACAAGAGAAAATGTCTGATGCAACAAAGGAAAAGTGATTGACATATATATGACATCAATAGTTCAAAGTGTAGCTAATTCTCGGGTCATGGGTCGCAGATTCCCAAATAACGAGAACGTCTATTTGTTTGTACAATTTCATTTACAAATCGAAAGCGGATTATGCCTCGTCCTAGTCCATGTGTTGCTACTTATTTCATTTTTCTTTTAAACGCACGTATGTTTTATGCAGGCAGCTAAGTCCCTTTACGGGGATCATGTTAAACATGCTTCCTTTACTTTACAGTATACCGATTAATCTATAAATTAATAATGTATATATTGCCATTAGTAAGATAGTGATAGACAAGAGGAGCTAAAGCACAAATGACCTAACAATCAAATTTGAAGGAATGGAACTTAAAGTGATTAAATGAGAGCAGCCAGCCAGAAAAATCCAGATCTTATTTGTCGGTTTATGACAATAATAGATATAATTATTCTTCATTTTCTCCGTTATATTCGTTACTTAACATTTTGGGGGTATAATTTACAACATAAAAACCGGGTTGCACTAAAGAAAAAATTCAACCAACACGTCAATTTAAAGTTATATTATACTTTATTGTTAAGGTTTCTCACTGTCTAAACTACTAGACATTTTAAATCTGTTATAGATTATATATGGATATAAAAATAAGGAGATGTGGTATGATTGGAAATAAGACAACTATCCACCAGAGTCCAAATGACGTGGATTTAAGCAAATACAAGTCCCAGAGCGGCCTTCAACAATGAACAAACCCCATATCGTATACAGTCACCTATAATAATAGGCCCATACATGACAAAATGTATCATGTGTATAGAGCAATTCAAACGAAAAAAACAAATATGCCAGACAGCAACCAACGAGCACCTCTGAGTTACAGGCTCCTGACTTGGAACATGCACAAAATGTAGAATATGTCGGGGTTAGGTATGTACATGTATATCATCGTCAATTGTGGTGTTATATTTCCGGTTTTATTCTTGTTGATTCTCATTTTGAAAACGTCAGTACGCCTCTAAATTTTATGAATTATGCACGAAGAAAATGTGTTCTTCAATTAGCTTTTTTAATTGAATACCATAGGCTGACACAGAAGGCAACTCACTGAACCAAAACCATACCGTTTGTCACAAACCATGTTTTGAGCAGAGATATATAACATATATGGTAAGATGTGTTTCAACTTTCAGGCATATATCGGTTACAATTTAAACAGAAAAATAACCACAGATGAAATATTAAGCAGACAATATCGTCTCTTGAATTTCTTTTATCTCGAGTTCATTGGGATATTTGAGATTGGAATAAAGTACAATATTTTGATATCGCTACTCTGTAAACTACTACACTGTTTTTTAGAACCATTAGTTTTTGCGTGATAACATCTGTGTTCAGTAAATGTTCGTTTTGGAAATAAAGTATTCCGTAAGGTAGATGTTACTCCGATAAGGACTAACCGTGCCTTTAAAATTTCTTATTGCAGGCTTACTCTTATATCGTGTAAGGAACCACAGTGTATCGCTTACTCCTTACCTCAAAATGACTCAACAAAATATGCACCACTTGAATAATTGATAGATATTTTAGACAATAACTAGATATTTTGACGAAATGTTCTCTGTAAGCAATCATGATTCATCATGAAATAATCGACTCATGCAAACGTTAAAAGTTACCGTCTTCCCTATTCAGATTTTGAAAGCAGAATTTCTCACCATAATCTTTGTACCAAGATTCAAGGTTTTTATTAACATTCAAGTACCCTGATCGGCCATATATATTCAATATACAACAATTTGAAACCACAATACAACAATTGTACCAAAATTGATGGCAAACAGGATGAATTTTCAATAGTTGATTTTCCTTTCCATAACAGTGATGTTCCGCTTGCCTGTTTCGACATGCACAGATTTCAGTAAGATTATTATTTCGTTTACTGAAAACATTTACTACAAGTAAATAAATAGTATAGTATGAATTGGACAAAACGTTGGTGTTATTTCATACAGAGCTATTTACTGTGGTTACAAAAATAGTCTCCCCCTAAAAAAAACAATAACATAAAAACACTATATTTTTCCATCATCGAAAAAGATACTGCTAGTGTGTATACATCAGATATTTACATTGAGTTTGGTTTCATTTCTAATAGGAAAGTCGTACGTCAAATGGTGATTTTCGATAATAACGGTAAAGTAGGTAAAGTAGTGAATATTAAATATTATCAGTTAATTACGAGTAAACAGAAACATATAAAGTATATATGTCACTGGGACAAATAAGGAAATTTAATAACGATAAAATACAGGAAGACATGAACATCTAGAGGTCAATATATGGGTTTTGACAATAGACCGATGTTTAACCCATATTTCATGCTGTAAATCGCCTACACTCTAAAACATGTGAATATGCTTAAAACAGAGAATACCAAAGATCTGCTAACAACAGTAAATCCTCACAATGACGAAAAATTAAGCTATGACAAAAGACCACCTTCGACGAGGTTCCTGACTTAGGACAGGCAATTAAACATATGACGCGACATAAGACAAACTTTTTTAAAGATCTCACTCTCATTGATTTATCTTGATATTGAAGATAAATAATAGTTAATTCTTTTAAATATTGAAATAGTCAGTCTTATAAAAGTCCAAAGGTTTGTTATAAATCATGTCAGCACCATCGGGAACTGAAAGTCCACCAGCAGAGGTATTGACCTAGTCATTTTTATAAGATTCCATACAGTTACTACCCTCTTATTAATAAACGTCACTGTCGGATGTACCTATTTTCATTTGAAGTATATAAACCTTATAAGACACTTAGGCTTTTCAAAAACACTTAAACATTATCGGCTGTAAACTAGTACTCACTTAAAGTAGATGTGAAAGTATGATATACATGTATCATTTACTGGTACAAACTTGCACATAGACAAGTGCATGTCAGTGGCATATGACAAAATGTCAATTTACTATAGAGGCTTGGAGACAAACATTGATAGCAACTCGTCCGACTATTACAGAAGATTTCAAAATACTGAAAATACAGACTTCAATGAGCAAATTATTCCGATTCAACGTCAAACATTTTTTAGAAAAAAATAGAAATTTACTATTTCTCGTAGCTGGCTTGGTGGTTGGATGTTTTGTGGCTGTGGTCATAAGTTATGCTTTCTTTTCTCTTGGGCAGAATCAAGGACATGGAAATTGCCAGCCGTATGGTAAGAAATTTTAATACTTTTACAAAAACTCTCTTTTACACTTGTTTTCCCAACTGTTGTTTTTACATTTATGATTACTAATATGATTATTATTATTATTGCTATTTTTATTATTATCATCATAATTATTATTATTATCTATTTATTTCCATTATCATAATTATGAAGACATTTCATTATGGTTTGAATAGAATTAGTGCTTTTCTTATTATTGCACATTAGTTTACATAAAAATAAAAAAAAGATATGGTATGATTGCCAATGAGACAATTTTCCACCAGAGACCAAATGTCACGGTTATTCAATGGTTGTCCTTAGTTACTGTCTGTCATATTTGTTTTCGTTAATTGTTTATCGAGTTTCTTGTTTAAATTGCTTAATATTTTGTCATGTCGGGTTTCTTTTGTAGCTGACTATACGGTATGATATATGTCTCATTGGCAATCATACCACATTATATTTTAAATAGATTGAACAATGTCAGTCAATTATAAAATGAACTCGTTAACAGTTCAACAACGAGAACAACAACCACATCAGATTCTATTTCCGGCTATCGGTACTGCACATGGAGTAGGTAATACATATCAAAATATGCTATCCAGGATGGCAACATCCATTGTATTGCATGGCAATCAGAGCAGCAGACAAAAATCTGCCGCACACGATGGCAACATCCATTGTATTGCATGGCGATCAGAGCAGCAGACAAAAATCTACAGTGCACGGTCGCAAATCCATTGGGTTGCATGGCAATCAGACAAAAATCTACAGTACACGATGGCAACATCCATTGTATTGCATGGCGAACAGAGCCGCAGACAAAAATCTGCAGAACAAGATAGCGATAAAACAATCGGGAACACATATTGTATCGTATCTACGGTAGTGATAACCGCTATTAGAAAAGGTGTGCACAAGCTGATCTGCTTTCAAATGATAAACTTTCAATGAAATTATTTAACACAATGTAATCATTGCATTATGTTTTAGAAGTGACATCTGGTGCCCAAAAGAAGAACCAAACGTCGGTGACAACAGACAGTGGGAAAAAGGAAAATAGTGGTATGGGTATAGTTAGTTGTCTTATTTAAGGATTTTAATTCTATTCAAACATTGTCTTATCAATGAAAGCAATTAAAACTGTTGCAATTCTACTCACGCAAAATTATTTGAAATTTAAAGAATATACAACAGAAACTTTCTTAATCATCACCTCAATGTTCATTCCCAATTCCGAGGGAAATAAAATAGCACTTCGTGATTTTTTAAATTTTAATAGAATCTAAATGTTACAGTTTTTGATTGGGTTCATGTTATTAGTTTTTCTATTTTGATTGGGTTCATGTTGTTAGTTTTACTATCTTGATTGGGTTCATGTTGTTTAGTTTTTCTATGTAGAGTTTGATTTACTGATTTGTCTATTCGTTATCTTTCGTTTTTTGCCATGGTGATGACAGTTTCCCTTCAACTTATATGAGTTTTGAATGATCCATTGATATCTTCCGCATATTTTTTTTTATAGTTTTTTCTTCAAAGAACAATACTTTGCCATGTCAAATTAATTCTCGTCCTAAGATTTGGGGTAGATGAATAATGGGTCGACCGACTTTTTGCTTTTAAAAGAACACTTAAAACACCACCAAATAAAAGCTAAATATCATGAATTAAAATAGCAAGAACGCAAATTGATACGTCTATTGCACGAACTACTCTAGACATTATCATTGGCGTTTCCCATACAATTCTTTTAACGAAAACAAAAGCAAAAATAGATATAACATCAATCTATAATTAATCAAAAATATATATAAAACAACCAATCAATTATGAATGGATACAGAATCAATCAAACAATCTGTATCATTATATTCTTTAGATTTTAAACAAATATTTGTGGCATGTACTGGAAATAGACAGTCAGTATTGGACGCTTGGAGAAATTCATCCATTGGAGGGGACATCAGCAACATTAAAGACTCGTGTACCAATCGACACCTTAGGAGTACATTGATTGACAACTGGAATGGCTCAATGATTGATCAGGTATGAATCAAGTCAGTTCACCTTTTCAACAAACAAACATGATATCTAGTACACAAAGTACAAGCGTCTGAAGTCAGAAAGTGACAGTCCAATCCAAGGATTACCGAACAGTCTCATAATAATAAAACACTGGACGTTAAGCAACCAACAATCAATCAATCAATCATAATAATAACTAGTACTTCTTAAATTATTTAAAAGCAACACTTGTTTTACTATAAATAAGTTATATTCATATGAAAAAAAAATATTTACATAAATAAATTTACTCAGATGGTAGGCACAAATAGATATAAAACTAGATTTGTAATTGCGAGCAATAACGGATGGCATCCTCGTCCCCCCATTGCCAAGGTAACGGCAGTCATTTTGAAAATTCCAAAGTCAAACTGCAACTCTACATATGCCAGTTACCATTTCTATAAAGTTTCATTCAGTTTTGAACACTTTGATTTTTTTCGCATTTTTGCTGTTTCCATGGAAACGGCGGCCATCTTGAACCATTCCATAGCAAGGTGCACAACTTCACATGGGGTCCTCATTATAGTAAAGTTCCATCAACATTGGTCCATCAAATTGCGAGGACTAGCGCAGACAAAATGTGTGGAAGAAGAATAAGAAAAATAAGAAAAGAAAAAAGAAACGTAGAATAACAATATGTCACCCCAACTCCTTTGAAGGTGCCAGTAATAGTTATAAACTGAGGGAAGGGTGTGTCTGGATAAGAAATCCCGACGGCCGGAGGCCGGAGTGGTTTCTTATCCAGACACGCCGTATCCCGAAGTGTATAACTAACTTACACCCGATGCTAAACCCTATATTTGTTTACATGGAATATTAGATGAAAAAGAACAGATAGCATTTTTATTGACAATATCAAACCATGATTAATAAGAATTATTTTTTTAAAATGAAACCCCACCAGTAACCTTACTTTAACGATCTTCATTCAAACTTTGACAAGTGAGTAGATTTTACAAAATTTAATGTCAAAGTTGCCGTTTTGCACATTCCCGTTAATTCCATGTGCTGATATGGATCAGCAGGTCAAGGTTCGAGCATTCTTATTATAAAAAAAACATCATGATCCTTGTATGCAGTTGTCAATATGGACGGGTATAAGACGGACGACATTTTGAGTCAGGCGTTGGATTTGGCAGAAGTGACTGAAGATAACGCAATATTTATAACCCAAAGTACTTACATGTATCAGTTTAATGAAGGTAATCATAAATGTATTTCACATGTTACGGTTTTATCAAAAAAAAAGCCCCTCTTCTTCTCAACATTACACAAACATTCATACTGAGGGATAGGTGTGTTTGGATTAGAAAACCGACGACCGGACACGCTTAACATACAAAAATACAGATTGCATATGTAGGAACCCCCCTTTTTGGACAACCCAAAAGGGGGTGTTCCGGGGGGTGAAACCCCCCTTTTTAACAATCAATGCTTTTGAATGGGGACATATGGCTGAACCCCCCTTTTATCCTGGGTTGGCATCCCCTTTTAAAAATGGCTGGATCCGCCCCTGGGTGCCATCATTAGTCTTCAACAATCCAAACTTTAATATTTATTTTAAGATTAATACTTAATCCAAATGAAAACTATATGTTTTTAATGTATAATTCAAATAAAAGTTCTTACATGTATATTCTTTAAGACATTGCCTTAATTATGGGATTAAAATTGTAGCTTCAAGCAAAGGCATATTTAAATTATTTTTTTAATTCAAAATAGATGCTAAATATTTTTTTCGCTATTGGAATTTCCTGAAAATATGTTTTTTTAATATGTTTTGAAACAACTTGTAGTGAACACTATTAGTAATCTCTTATGTTCATGCAATTAAAAAAAAACAACAACAACAATTTCTATTGTTATGAATAACAATGGACTGTGCATTCGGGATGTAGAAACAGGGGGTTCCAGAAACCCCGCTCGTCACACCCTGTTATCAAAATCCATTGTTATTCGTAACAATAGATCTATTCAATTTACACGTGTTTCAGAAATAGAAACTATGAAGTATAACAATATAACAATAGAACTGGGGTGTAATAATTAATACTAAAAAGAACATTAGAAATGACTGATTGTGTCTGTCAAAAGGTTAAATCAGCTGAGTATTTCCTTGGATAATCAGTGAGGTGTAACGGGAAACATCAAGAGTAGCTTGCATGGACTCGTAACATGCAAGATTTGATAAATGAATATATATATTTTAATATTATTTGGTTGTTAATTAATGATTTTTTTTTTAAATTTGGATAACGTGAGTAAACCGTTATAATATTGAAAAATAGGGGACCGGTGTAAATGGTAAAAACTTACCAAAGCGTAGCGTGGCGACATTTTTTGACGATTTTTATGCAAATTTTGTGTATTTTTATCAAATTGGAAAAGGGGGAGAGGGTGCACCCGAATCCGCCACTGCAACATAATTATCATTTTCATTTCAGGTGATAGTTGAACTTTTCAGAAATGAACAATTAGCTGTAGAGATGTTTTTTGATGGTCGAGGTTCAACAAGTTCTAATTGGTTCACCAGGAAACGACTACGTTCTAATTCTTTTAACGACCTGACGCAAATGTCTACCTTCAACTTTTTCTCAATGAATGGGTAATTAATCTGGAAAGTAACTCGAAACTAGATCGGACCATGGAATTTAGATAAATAATTGCAAAATACGTCGTAACAATATGAATTTTAAGGGATGTGGGTTATATATGGACGAGACAGCAACGAAACGATTGAAAAACAAAATAAAAAACATCTCGAGGTCAACATGACGCAGACATATGTGAAGGGAACGTTCATGACAAAGAGATAAAAATAGCTGGCTATCTGTGATTGGTTCTTATATTATTTGCATATTTTCTCCGGAAAAACATTATGAATAAAATGTCATGCAAGCATAAATTTGTCCTCAATCTGGTATATTATAAAGGAGTTGAGATTTTTTTTTTATTTTGATCAAAATTTTGTGGAATTAATAACATTGTCGGCTATGGGATCAACATTTAGTACTTTGCATTCCAGTGACCAAACCGTTGACCGCCATTTCTTCATCAATCGTAACTATGGAGGCTGTGCAAACGACAAAGGATGGATGGTGGTGATTGACAAGGCTGATGCAAATTACCGACCCTGCAATTTTGATAAGTTACCTGGAAAGGCCTACCCATATATACTGTATGGCCCTGATCAGCAGCTTGCTCATTATTACTATGGTAAGTCAGAAAATATTTTAGTTTGCATACTGTGAACTGGGGTGCCCGGAGAGAACCCCCGACCTTCGATCGACTGGAAAATTTACAATCCTTGTCAATTAAATTTGGTGTCAAACGCACCTGCCACATGCAGAGTTGGAACTCACAACCTCAGTGTTGACAAGCTAGTGATACAGTGTTCGAACTACTTAAGCCAAACGGCCACCACGCTATTAATCTTAACTTTCTTGTCATTGGGTTAGATAAGGGTGTGGATGAGGGTTTACAGAATAGAGAATAATGAGCAAAAAATATGAAGACTATATTTAGAGAAAAATGGACCAAACAATAAAGAATAGAGAATAATGAGGTGCTTAAATATAAAGAATAGAGAATAACCGGTAGAAAACTTATTTCAAACGGGATATCATATCTTAATTTCTACGGAGATGTGGTTTACCGAGCCTGGAAATGTAGATACGACCCAGGTAAATTTATCGACACTTTAAATATACTTATTTTAAAAGGTTACCAATTCAACACTGAAATTAGATCTTGGAATATTGTTTTTATTGGTATAAATATTGATTTTGTTATCAGCAAATTAAAATCAAAATAATATAATTGTTATATACATCTGCACATTCATGGCTCTTCTATATGTCGATACCTGCATATTGACATTGCACAAGTTCATGTTTTTCTCTGACTGTTGATAGCGTCTTTACATTAGATCCATTAGATGTTGGATGTGTACTGATTGATATACAAGTTTAAGATGCATGATTTTTTTATTAGTTGTTTTTGGCTTTGAACTAGTTGTCAGTAACTGCGATTACTCTCAGATCTGTACTGCGTGTATCTTTTAGTTGTGGTTATGTATAAATACCCTGCCATGTCAGATCTGTGTTTTTGTTAGATGTTTTCTGCTTTGTATAGATCTCGAGAGTTAAGCCCTTTTCAACTGATTTTTATAGTCTGTTCTTATACTGTACTGTTACACCACTGTCTCATGTTTGGGGGAGGGTTTGGCGCCAGCAAACATGTTTAACCCCGCAACATTCTATGTGCCAATTCCTAGTCAGGAGTTTGTAGTTTAGTGGTTGTCGTTTGTTAATGTCTGTCATATTTTCTTTTTTTTCATAAATTGATTTATTATAAATTAGGCTGTTAGTTTTTTTCGTCTTTTTCATGCAGGGACCTTTTATAGCCGACTATACGGTATGGTTAGTTCTCATTGTTGAAGGCCGTACGGTGTCTATAATTGCTTACATCCACTTTATTTGAACTTTGTTGGATAGTTGTCTCATTGGCAATCATTCCACATCTCCTTATTCTTATATCTAATAATAATTGTTCATCCTGTGTTCCTCTTATAAATATTTTGATAGAAATAGGACAAAAAGTACATTACTAGAATGTTTTACTCCTTATCATGTATTTAGATATATTTGTTTCCATTTTAGGACTGTATGCAGTTGCCGACATGATGGTTATATCAATTTCGACATTAGGTTGAGATGGAGCATCATGCTACAAGAAAAGTTTTACTCCAAAATAAAATAATATTGGACCTGTTAGTTTGTATACTTTCCCTTCCGAATAGAAAGCAGAGAATGATTATAAATCCAATCGATGCGATGATATTTACGCATTTTCTTTTCTTTCAAAAGAATGTACATATTTATACAGCTTAGTCATCTAAATGACTTCATTTTGCAAGTTTTATTTTAAAGAACATTGATTTACCTTGTGGCAATGTTTATATTGGTCAGATGATGGTAAAAGACGAGGGACGCTTTTATGGAAGGGAATATCCGCCATAATTATACATTTCTTAATTGTAAATTGCAATTTCTTAATTTGTAAAATGCAATTTCTTAACTTGTTAAATGTAATTTTATTAATTTGTAACATGTATTTTTTTCCATCCGTTACATGAATTTCTACATTTCTTGATTTGTGAAATGTATCTTCTTAATGTTACAATGCTGTTTCTTAATTTGTTAACGTATTTTCATCGTTCGTTACATGTAACATGGATTTTTCCATCCGTTACATGAAATTCTACATTTCTTGATTTGTGAAATGTAATTTCTTTGTTTGAGTTTGGGGTCGTGTCATGATTTGTTGACGAAGAGCTGGTATGCTCTGTTCTAGATTCGTCTAATACAGTGCAAGGAATATAGTCTAGAGCTGATTGTCTAAGACGAATGATTAACTTTAGATACTTCTGATTTGAAAACAGATTGTATCAGATTACCAATCAAGTATTTGTATGTTTATATATCATATAAAAGAACATAATAACTTTAATGCGTATAAATAATATATAATTGAGTACGAGTTGGTAAAAATACGAGTTGAGTACGAGATGGCTAAGGTACGATTTGACATGGACCCACAGCGACCTCGTGCGGAATTCATTCTTGATTTGTAAAACTTCTTGATTTGTAAAACTTCTTGATTTGTAACTTGTTGATTTGTAACTTGTAGTTTTTCTTGAGGAAAGGAACTTCTCATTGGCTTGCAGCAGTAACCATTACACTGACACATTCTCCCAAAATGTGACTCAAACAAAGAAATTACATTTCACAAATCAAGAAATGTAGAATTTCATGTAACGAACGAAGAAAATACGTTAACAAATTAAGAAATTGCATAGGCGGATCCAGGGGGGGGCCTGGGGGGGAAATTTGGTTGATTATATAGGGAATCACTGAAGCATGACTGGAGCGCCCCCCCCCCCCCTTTTAGGTCAGTCAGCGCCCCTCCCCCTTTTGGGTCATTCAGTGCCCCCCCCCCCCCTCCCACACCTTTTACAAAAAGTTCTGGATCCGCCACTGAATTGCATTTACACATTAAGAAGTTACATTTCACAAATCAAGAAATGTAGAAATGTATGTAACGGATGGAAAATAACATGTTACAAATTAAGAAATTACATTTTACAAATTAAGAAATGTATAATTATGGCGGATATTCCATTCCATACACATTTTGGGTCTCTATCTGAGGTTTGATGGAATAAAAATTTAAGGGATCTCATTTTGGGCGACTATTTAATTTTTTAAGGAAGTGCAGGGTTTTTTTCGGACAGAAAATATATTGTCATCCCGTCTTGGGCAAGATTTCTTCTTTTCAGAGAAAATCAAATGAAAATGTAGGTCCCTGTAAATTTCAATCCTTCAAATTTAAAAAAAAAGAGGCCAAACGTACCCTTTGAGCATGCAGTCAGCAATAATAATCCCAGATCTTATTTGTTGGTGTATGAAATAAATTTTTAATACATTTTCTTCGTTCTTTTTTCTTTAATATCTAGGGTACAATTTACAACAAAAATATAAAATAAGGATATGTGCATGGTATGATTGCCAGAGTTCAAACGAAGTGAATATAAGCAATTGTAGGCAACCGTACGGCCTTCAACATTGAAAAAACCCATACCGTATAGTCGGCTATAAAAGGACCCGGAAATAAATAAGGGTCTGGATGGGGTTGATAGAATAGAGATCGAATAATGGGCCAATACTGCAGAAAACTGGCATACAAAATAAAGAATAGAGAAAAAAAGGCAAAAAGAATAAAGAATAAAAGAATAATGGGGTTCTAAAATATAAAGAATAGAAAAAAATGGGAAAATTTTTATAAAGAATGGAGAAAAAATTAAATGCCTTAAAAAATGAAGAATGCAGAATTGAAGGGCCCCCCATCCAGACCCTCATAAATTAGTTGATTGTTATGTTACAGCTAGTGTCTCAGTGTCTGAATTAACTATAGACATCATAACTCTGTCATAGATCATACAATGTCACGTATATTATCGTCAATAAATTTTCGTGTCACAGTATTCCCGGTTATTTTTGTAAATTCTAGAGTAGTGAACACATTTTTTTGTGAATTAAGTACAAAGAAAGGATGTTCCTCAATGAGCTTCTTCAGTGACTTTTAAAAACACCATAGACTGACACTTATGTTATGTTACTAGTTGTGAGGATTAAGATAGGGGGTTCTTCATTTCTGTATTCTTTAATTTTTTGGCCATTTTTCTCTATTCTTTATATTAAGTTTTGCCTATTATTCTCTTATTTTTTATATTTTAGCACCCCCTTATTCTTTATTTTGTTTTGCCTATTTTTCTCTATTTCTTATATATTTTGTCCATTATTCAGTTCTGCACATTTTGCCCTTTATTCTGCACATTTTGTCCACTATTCTACACATTTTGTCCATTATTCTATACACTTTGTCCATTATTCTACACATTTTGTCCATTATTCTGCACATTTTGTCCATTATTCTATACATATTGTCCATTATTCTACACATTTTGTTCATTATTCTGTACATATTGTCCAATATTCTACACATTTTGTCCATTAATCTGTACATATTGTCCATTATTCTACACATTTTGTCCATTATTCTGTACATATTGTCCACTATTCTACACATTTTGTTCATTATTCTGTACATATTGTCCATTATTCTACACATTTCGTCCATTAATCTGTACATATTGTCCATTATTCTACACATTTTGTCCATTATTCTGTACATATTGTCCATTATTCTACACATTTTGTCCATTATTCTGTACATATTGTCCATTATTCTACACATTTTGTCCATTATTCTGTACATATTGTCCATTATTCTACACATTTTGTCCATTATTCTGCACATTTTGTCCATTATTCTGCACATTTTTACCATTATTCTGCACATTTTGTCCATTATTCTACACATTTTGTCCATTATTCTACACATTTTGTCCTTTATTCTGCACATTTTGTCCATTATTCTACACATGTTGTTCATTATTCTTTACATATTGTCCATTATTCTACACATTTTGTCCATTATTCTACACATTTTGTCCATTATTCTACACATTTTGTCCTTTATTCTGCACATTTTGTCCATTATTCTACACATTTTGTCCATTATTCTATACATATTGTCCATTATTCTACACATTTTGTCCATTATTCTACACATTTTGTCCATTATTCTGTACATATTGTCCATTATTCTACACATTTTGTCCTTTATTCTGCACATTTTGTCCATTATTCTACACATTTTGTCCATTATTCTGCACATTTTGTCCATTATTCTACACATTTTGTCCATTATTCTACACATTTTGTCCTTTATTCTGCACATTTTGTCCATTATTCTACACATTTTGTCCATTATTCTATACATATTGTCCATTATTCTACACATTTTGTCCATTATTCTGTACATATTGTCCATTATTCTACACATTTTGTCCATTATTCTGTACATATTGTCCATTATTCTACACATTTTGTCCTTTATTCTACACATATTGTCCATTATTTTACACATTTTGTCCATTATTCTGTACATATTGTCCATTATTCTACACATTTTGTCCTTTATTCTGCACATTTTGTCCATTATTCTACACATTTTGTTCATTATTCTGTACATATTGTCCACTATTCTACACATTTTGTTCATTATTCTGTACATATTGTCCACTATTCTACACATTTTGTCCATTATTCTGTACATATTGTCCACTATTCTACACATTTTGTCCATTATTCTATACATATTGTCCATTATTCTGCACATTTTGTCCATTATTCTGTACATATTGTCCACTATTCTACACATTTTGTCCATTATTCTGTACATATTGTCCACTATTCTACACATTTTGTCCATTATTCTATACATATTGTCCATTATTCTGCACATTTTGTCCATTATTCTGTACATATTGTCCACTATTCTACACATTTTGTTCATTATTCTGTACATATTGTCCACTATTCTACACATTTTGTTCATTATTCTGTACATATTGTCCAATATTCTACACATTTTATCCATTATTCTGTACATATTGTCCATTATTCTATACATATTGTCCATTATTCTACACATTTTGTCCATTATTCTGCACATTTTGTCCACTATTCTACACATTTTGTCCATTATTCTGCACATTTTGTCCATTATTCTATACATATTGTCCATTATTCTACACATTTTGTCCATTATTCTATACATATTGTCCATTATTCTGCACATTTTGTCCATTATTCTATACATATTGTCCACTATTCTACACATTTTGTCCATTATTCTGTACATATTGTCCATTATTCTACACATTTTGTCCATTATTCTGTACATATTGTCCACTATTCTACACATTTTTTCATTATTCTGTACATATTGTCCATTATTCTGCACATTTTGTCCATTATTCTACACATTTTGTCCATTATTCTATACATATTGTCCATTATTCTGCACATTTTGTCCATTATTCTATACATAGTGTCCACTATTCTACACATTTTGTCCATTATTCTGTACATATTGTCCATTATTCTACACATTTTGTCCATTATTCTGTACATATTGTCCACTATTCTACACATTTTGTTCATTATTCTGTACATATTGTCCACTATTCTACACTTTTTGTCCATTATTCTGTACATATTGTCCATTATTCTACACATTTTGTCCATTATTCTGTACATATTGTCCACTATTCTACACATTTTGTTCATTATTCTGTACATAT